GACTGGAATCCACTGCCACTTGTTCCAGACTGGAATTGGGAGCCAGCTGCTGAACCAAAGGAAGAGCCACTTGTTGAACCAGATTGGAATCCACTGCTGCTTGAACCAAAGGAAGAGCCAGTTTGAGATCCAGTGTTGCTTGAAAAGCCTGACTGAATTCCAGAGCCAGATGAGGAGCCAGACTGGAATTTACTGCCACTTGTTGAACCCGACTGGAATCCACTGCCACTTGTACCAGACTGGAATCGGGAGCCAGCTGCTGAACCAAAGGAAGAGCCAGTTTGAGATCCAGTGTTGCCTGTTAGACCTGACTGAATTCCAGAGCCAGTTGAGCCAGATTGGAATTTACTGCCACTTGTTAAGCCAGACTGGAATCGGGAGCCAGCTGCTGAACCAAAGGAAGAGCCAGTTTGAGATCCAGTGGTGCTTGAAAAGCCTGACTGAATTCCAGAGCCAGTTGAGGAGCCAGACTGGAATCCACTGCCACTTGTACCAGACTGGAATCGGGAGCCAGTTTGAGATCCAGTGTTCCCTGATAGACCTGACTGAAGTCCAGAGCCAGTTGAGGAGCCAGACTGGAATTTACTGCCAGAACCAGATTGGAATCCAGACCAGCAACAGATTGGAATCCACTGCCTGTTCCAGATTGGAATCCACTGAGATTGGAATCCACTGATTGGAATCCACTGCTACCAGATTGGAATCCACTGCTTCCTGTTCCAGATTGGAATCCACTGCTTCCTGTTCAGATTGGAATCCAAGATTGGAACTCCCTTGGAATCCACTGCTTCCTGTTCCAGATTGGAATCCACTGCTGCCTGTTCCAGATTGGAATCCACTGCTTCCTGTTCCAGATTGGAATCCACTGCTTCCTGTTCCAGATTGGAATCCACTGCCCAGATTGGAATCCACTGCTTTGCCAGAGATTGGAATCCACTGCTTCCTGTCCAGATTGGAATCCTGCTTCCTGTTCCAGATTGGAATCCACTGCTGCCAGATTGGAATCCACTGCTGCCTGTTCCAGATTGGAATCCACTGCTTCCTGTACCAGATTGGAATCCACTGCTGCCTGTTCCAGATTGGAATCCACTGCTGCCTGTGATTGGAATCCACTGCTGCCTTTTACAGATTGGAATCCAGACTGGATCCCAGCACCAGATGAACCAAATTGGAATCTACCACTTGTTGATCCAGACTGGAAACCGGCATTACTTGTTGAACCAGACTGAGATCCAGAACCAGTTGAACCAATTCCAAATTTATTGCCAGCAGACCCAAATTGGAGCCCGCTGCTGCTTACTCCTAATCCGCCACTTTGTAAACCAGCTTGGAACCCACTGTTGCCTGCATTGAGAGAACTAGACTGAGCTCCAGTGCCAGCGTTCTGGATCTGGCTACTGATCTGTAACTGTCCGCCTTTCCCGATTAAGCCAGAACTGAAGAATCCAGGTTCAGCAAGTTTTACAGCAATGTCGAAAATGTCAGCCTGCTGGAACTGTTGACCTGTGGCCAACGCTGCCACCAACACTGAGGAAGAAATACAGTTCTCTTTTAGTAAACACACAGCTGAATATCTCCTTTTGTATGTGTGTAAACATGCACACACACACACACACACATGCACACATATAGAAACATGGATATATAACTAACATATATGTACACATCAGTGCATCTCTCTTTTGTATGAATACAGTAATGCTTGGGAGATAATTCTGTCCTCAGGATTAGAACCAATGAATATCGTAGAGATATCTGTGACAGATGTACTAATGAATGATAGTGGCGGTCATATGCTATCAAAATATGTTTCATTTTGATGAATGACCATGATCATGAAATATTTGCATTTCCTATCATTTCAATTTGGTATTGTATATGTCTGTCTGACTAAAGTTTATCAAATCATCCATGAAATAGTAAAGTACAAGGATAGAAAATGGAACCATTTTGCAAATTAGAGACAGAATCTTCAGCAAGATATTTTGTACCAATTCCTGTTTTAGTTTAATACCGAATTAAGATCATAGAGTCCATAGCTGAGAATGCTGGTCATTCACTATTGTAGCTACTATAGTCTCAACGTGCGACTATGAAGGTTAGGTTATCTTGCGCAGCTAAAAGTGTTTTTGCTAAACCCACAAAGAAAAAAACAGTTGAAGTACTTGAGTGACCAAATGAAGTCATCAGTAATGAATTTCACTTTGGAGTTATAGTTGTTTTGTAAATTTATCAGGTAAGTGATTGTAACACAAAGTTATGCAGCCAGTTGATCCACTGTACGTTAATTCTAAAATATTTACATAATATTCTAACAACACATCCTTAATGGTTTATTAATGTTATAATGACTTTAAAGCTGTAACAACTAATAACATGATAGATGTGTCCGGTGCGTTTCGCGACATAAGCAGCCGAGCCATGATATTAAATCATACTACTTCAACAAACACGCATATGTGTGTGTGCGCATATATGTATGTATATGTGTGTGTGTAGAGAGAGAGAGTAGATTGGAGTTATCATTATTGTCATTATTATCCACAGTATAAAAATGCAATGTTTCCCAAAATTACACATTTAGAATTATCTCCTCACGGCAGCCAATTATTTGAATTCTCTATATTGTATGATGGCATATCTATTCATTACAGTTACTAACAAATTGATTGTTAATAGCAATAAACAAGCAGTAGTAGAAGTAGTATCATTATTATTATCATTCCTACCATCAACATTCTACTTATCATTTTATCATTATTATTAATATCATTATAATTACCATCAATATCATAATAATTATCATTAATATCATTATCATTACCATTCTCATTATTGCTGTTGTAATTTTTACCATTTTTATTGCTGTCGTTGTTATAAAAATCATTATTATTTTTATCATTATCATTATCATTAGTAGTTGTAACGTTAGTATTTTCATTCTTATTGTAATTAACATTATCGTTAGTATCATCATTATCATGAGTAAAAGTAGAAGTAGTATTAGTAGTAGTAATAGTAGTAGTATCATTATTACTACTATCATTATCATTACCATTATTACAGTTATCATTATTATTATTACTATCATTATTACTGTTATGATGATGATGATGATAATTCTTATTATCATATTATAAAAATCATTATTATAACCATCATCATTATGATTACCATTACCATTATTAGTACCATTATCATTCTTATCATTATAATTATTATTATCAACAGTAGTAGCAGTAGTATCTATCATTGTTATTACTATAATTATGATTACCTTAATTGTTATTGATTTTATGTTAATGTCATTGTTATATTGCTGTTGTCGTCATCATTGTTATTGTTGTCACTATTATGAATATGATTATAATTATCACAACTATCATCAACATTGTTATAATCATTATCGTTACTACTACTATTACTGTCATTTTCAATATTAGTATCATCATTATTATCATTAATAATATCATATAATTATCATCATTGCATTCGTCAATGTTATTATTATTACGACGAATAAAATTACTGGAGGTTGTTTTAAAATAACACCTGCACTTATTTCTTTGTTATAAACTAAATGTCTTATCAGTATTGGTACTATTAACCCGTGCTTCTGCAAACATGCATTCTCCACTCTAGTTTTGTTTTGTGAAATTATTTTAACACATAGATGTCTCAACAAATGCTTAGCCACCATGGAGTCAAGTGATAGGCCTATATTACCTTACCTGTTATCCCCTTTCCTGAATTTATGGGAAAAAATAAAAATCTGATGCTCTTGATATCGATACCGTTATCATTATTGGCATTATGACTATTATAATGATAAAGAAATAGCGATAAAAGAAAGAAAAAAAATCCGAAAATCAAGGAAAACGGTAAACAGATGAGTAGTATGTCTTTGTAACAAATTTAGAAAAAGTATGAATGAAAATGAATATCTTCACAATACAAGAGATGTAATTGACTGGTTTCGAATTATACATCTTCTTCAGAGATACACGAATTTCTAACAAAAATATATTCGCTGCTGGTTAAATACATCTGTTCTACTCTGTAGATATTCATTCTCATTCATATCTTTTCTACAGATGAGTAGGTAAGAATGGTAATTGACTCCGTGACTATATACTAGACAAGCTATATATGTTTATATACAATAGGACACGTTGCTATTGTAGGTGCTAATATTAGCATCAGTATTATATCGTAACTGTCAATATCACTGCTAGTTTGTCATTAATACGAATATTATCATTATTATCATCATTATTACCACTATTATAAGCTGCACATTCATTGATCGATAGTAATAAACATACTCTCCCCCTCCCCCTCCCCATCCTTATGTATATATCAGTTTTTTATATCTTGTATATTAAATCTATCAGATAAAAAAAAAAAAAAATGAAATACTTATAAATATGTGTGTGTGTGTGTGTGTGTGTGTGTGTGTGTGTGTGTGTGTGTGTGTGTGTGGTGTGTGTGTATATATATATATATATATATATATATATATATATATATATATATATATATATACATATATATATATATATATATATATATATATATATATATATATATATCGCAGATCTTATATATAATCGTTTATGCTGGATCTTTTCCCGTCTCTCCTCCCACCCCAAGTACTCACCCAACACCAAGGTCTTCATTGTCCTATGTTGGCGGCTCCAGGATAGACTGTGCCCAACCTGCCCCGACTTCGCCTTATATAGCCGGGACAAGGCCGAGGTTCCGAAGGGCACCAGGACAAGGGGGGTGAAAGCTGAGAATTGTTGCACGAGAGCTGAAAGATTTTGCGTGATTTTTCCCCTTTTTTTTGGGGGGGGCTTTTTTTTCCTAATTTTTGGACTTGGAAGAAAATGTGTCTTTCTGAAGGCGACGAAGGGAAAAGGGAGGTTTTTGGTTTTCGTAATGTCTTCTTGGGTTTAATTATTTTTTTTATATCAAAATATCGAAGATTCAAGTACAAGTCTATCATTATTAGTATTGTTATTATTAGTAGTAGTTGTAGTAGTATCATTATTATCATTATTATTATTGATATTATCATTATCATTATGATTATTGTTATTATCATTATTATTAGAAGTAGTAGTAGTAGTATTCATTATTATATATTATAATTGTCATTATTAATATTCCTCGGACTTATTTTACTGTACATCAGGTTCTTAAAGGTAAATAAATGTGAACAGAATTATAATGGCTGACTGCGATATCTGTAAGATATCAGTGCAATCGTGGCTCAGTCATTAATTAAAAACTAATCAAATATTCATTGCTGATGTTGAATCTTATTTCAACTCTTTATTTCAACCTTGTTAACATTTGTCTCAAGAGATGTTATACAATGACCCGCCCTCTTAAGAAATTTCCCAAGAGTCGTATATAAACAATATCCAAAAATGTTTTAAGTTTCTGCTATTACTGTTTCTATTGTATCGATAATACATAACGGCTTTCGTAAGCGATTAAATAAACAAAGTTTTTGTGATTCATTATGTCATCAGTTCTTGTTAATTCAGTTTTTCTTCACAGTTTATATCTAATTGTTATTTTGATTCTTGTACAAGGTCTCATTTACACAATATATCTCTAACCTAATCTAGATGAATCTGGAATCACGCAAACTTTTATTGGCTTAGTTTAACCTATCATATATTTACTATTCTACTTTATCCCAGTTTATCAAGAGTGTAAACTTAAGTATAAACTTAAGCAGAAAATGGCTAGTATTACGTATTCTACCTATGATATCCCATTTATCAAGACCGCATGTTATAGTAGACCCTAACATAACTTATTTTATCCTAAAGTATCCTATTCTAACCCAGCGGGAGTATCAGTAGCGTGAAGAAGTCTGGGGCCACCTCCTTGACTGTATGCCCCAAAGCCTCAAGTATAAGGCCTGGTACTGGGTAAGGGAGATATTTTGGCTATATAGACACAGATGAAGAAAACACTTTGTTCGATTTAAATATAGATTTCAAAATCACTATCTTATTTTCCTCTGTAATTAGATGCCCCCCCCCCATCTGCACGCCACTGAGGAGTATTTACTATTACGGAAAACAGACTATATGCTATGCTGTCCTTACTATTTTATCCTCCCTTATTCTAACCTACTCACCGCGCAATCAAGTCTAATAGTAAACAGTTGACATGTTTAATCTTATTTTATTCCAACAGGAACATAATTTGAAGTAGACAATGGTCTGTTGTAACTTATAACTTTATATATCTTGTCCTAACTTCACCAAAGCACAAAACGAACAAGTTTAGTCCGTTTTATCCCGACGTAACGCATTGTATCCAGTTCAGACTTATTCACCGTTTCATATTGTCTTAAACCGAAGCTGAGCGCATACTGTGATAGAAAACACACTGGACAAATACAATCACTTCTTGTTTCAAATTATCAGGCGGCCAAACTATAACAGAAAACTGACTATTCTTCCTAATGTACTTTATTCTAAACTAAACTACAGAGAAGGTATACTAAAAATGACCTAATCTCATTTCTTATTTTAATTATCTAATCTCATTTCCATCCTACTTTACCTTCTCCGCGTACTGCAGTCTATATATAGACCAGAATCATATAACCGCTTACTATAATAGAAACCTTAACAACAAATCTATTCAAGTAGAAGCAGACAAGAAATACAAAGTTCTCGTGAAATATTATCAAGACCTTTAAACAGAAAACCAACTAAGGATAAAAAATAATAGAAAAAAAATTCTACCCGACGCGACAGATACATGAATCATAGCTGCCGTGTGGGTGAGTTTGTGTCAAGTTTTCCCCCCTCTTGTAACTCCATCCATCTCGAAGGTTGTGTGTTTTGTCGTTTATCTAAAGAGCTTTTCACGTGGAAAACAGCCTAGGGAAAGGAGGGATCATTGTGCCGAAATAAGGACGGAGATAAAGGAAAGCCAAGACTTGTTTACCTAATTATTTAAGAAAAGAAGCATTTATTTCTTGATTTGTTTATTGTTTTTGGTGGATTTCATTTCGTACACAGCGTTTTTAAGGTCTAGTAGTATGGTATATCTTTTCACCACAGTCGATTTAACTGATTAAACACTTGTATTTACTTTCAGATGAACTATTTTGATTAATCTGTTTCATAATGCAACATGAAGGTCAAATTATGCATGCCTCAGTTGACTTGCCTGACTCATCAGCTAGTATCACGCTATATATTCTTAGACTGATAACATCATATTACCTGTCAATAATTTATAGTAAAATCACGAATACTTTAAGTAAATTCTAAATTACAGACCACAATCTTAAGAGATGTAAGTGAGGACAACAAATGAGTGAGATAACAAATAATGTTGAAAAGGTATTCCACTTCCCTTTAATTGTATACAAATTGCTGTCAGAACGCGTGCATGTGACCTAGAAGTCCGTTTTCTACGACAAAGGAGTATCCAATCCCGAAGTCCGTTTTCTATTATATAATGTGTCCTCACTAGGCTAGAGTATGTTAGGATAGAATAGATTAGGATAGTTGTTTATTTCTGATTTGTTAATTGCAGAGGAAATTTGCTGACAAACTAAGAGTGATAAGTAATTAGGGATGAAAGCCATTTGATTGTCACCATGATTGCTATCATGTTAGGTAATTTGTAGTACGGTTTGTTAATATACTATATCATTGATCTCTGTGGCTGATTATAAAATGAATACATTGTTGCAATGCTAATGGTCATAGCCACTTTTTTCCTCAATTAAAACATCTCACTAGCTGTCTTAACTAATAGTAATTTTCAAGTTTATTCCTGCGATTGAAGATAAAAATAGTGAAGGGATTTTCCGCCATTATACAACAGCTGAAATCGAACTCTCTCGCCGGTTTGTATTTTTTTCAAATCGGAATCAGCATTGGGAGGTTCAGACCTTCAGACACACATTGGGATTTACGCGTATTATGAAAACAGGATATGCGACTCGTCTTACCCAAATCATGCATAGTTTCATATTATCGTTATTCACGAACCTTTATTTTTTTTAATATACTTTTTTTTCTTGAAGAAGAGCCTCACTTCTCACGACCTGATAAGCTAATCGATCTCGTGTGATTCAGAGGAAGCCCTTGAGATCTTGCGCTGAAAATGCATCTGTACTTTCACTCGCTGTGTAACCGGAGATTCTGCCGGGACGCCCAACTAGTTTATACAAGCCTTGACCTGTGTGGTATAACGGGATGCTTGCAGTTGACTCCCTTGCAAGGACAGTCTGCAATGCATGCCTACGGGGAAAAAAGGACAGAGTTAGAACCTTGAGACATTCGCAGAGAGAGTTGCATTCAGGTTAAGAAATCGTGGTATTTTTGTTTATCATGTGTGCGTTTGTTTATATATTGTTGGGGTTTGATAATAGAGACGAATCGCTGTATTTTGTCTATCAGGAGTGTGTTTATACAGTTTTGTTGTATAATTCGCAGGTGATATTGTCGTCTGAAGTGCTGTTCTTTCTAAGATCCACCACCCTTTTGTGCCGCAAAATGTGTACTTCATAACAAAACTTCTAATCAAGTAAAGAAATCGTATTTTGCTGATCGGGAGGATTATACTCGTATAAAGGTAATAATATTGGTTCCTAAGTAACATCGTATAATTTGTAGATTGACCGTTAGAGGAGCTGTTCTCTCGAAGATCTACCACCCTCTTGTGCCGCAAAATGTGTATTTCATAACATTTTCAATCAGGTAAAGAAATCGTATTTTGCTGATCGGGAGGAATATACTCTTATAACAGTAATACTATTGCTTCCTAGTAACAGTATAATTCATAGAGACTGACCATTAGAGGAGCTGTTCTCTCGAAGATCCACCACCCTCTTGTGTCGCAAAATGTGTATTTCATAACAAAACGCAATCAGGTAAAGAAATCGTATTTTGCTAATCGGGAGGAATATATTCTCATAACTAATATTATTACTTCCCAAGTAACATAGTATAATTTGTAGATTGACCGTTAGAGGAGCTGTTCTCTCGAAGATCTACCACCCTCTTGTGCCGCAAAATGTGTATTTCATAACATTTCCAATCAGGTAAAGAAATCGTATTTTGCTGATCGGGAGGAATATACTCTTATAACAGTAATACTATTGCTTCCTAGTAACAGTATAATTCATAGAGACTGACCATTAGAGGAGCTGTTCTCTCGAAGATCCACCACCCTCGTGTCGCAAAATGTGTCTATCATAACAAAACGCAATCAGGTAAAGAAATCGTATTTTGCTAATCGGGAGGAATATATTCTCATAACTAATATTATTACTTCCTAAGTAACATAGTATAATTTGTAGATTGACCGTTAGAGGAGCTGTTCTCTCGAAGATCCACCACCCTCGTGTCGCAAAATGTGTCTATCATAACAAAACGCAATCAGGTAAAGAAATCGTATTTTGCTAATCGGGAGGAATATATTCTCATAACTAATATTATTGCTTCCCAAATAACATAGTATAATTTGTAGATTGACCGTTAGAGGAGCTGTTCTCTCGAAGATCCACCACCCCTCGAACAGCAATAGGGTAACACCGGATGTCTCAAATTTTGAAAAGTATCGGTAGTGAAAAGTATCTGTGTCCTCGGGTTGCTGCTTCTCAATATCCTTCATCCTGTATTTTTCACAGGAGTTTAATATCCTGTTGCCTAAATTCTTACGAAATACGTAACGGAATTCATTTTCCTTTGAACGCTACGTGTATTAGATGTATTAGGATTTATTTGTTATATTATAGATTGGTAAATTTCGTTATTTTATTTATTTGTCCTATAAGAACAGGTTGAGGAGCGTCCAAAACCAAGATGTAAAGGGAGTAAAGATTTCGAACGCTAAGGAATAAAGGAAAAAAATGCAAAATGCAAACAATATTGATAATAATAGCAATAAATAATTATTATTATCATTATTATTAATTAAATGACAATCATAATAATAATAATAATAATTATTATTATGGTTTTAATGGTCATAATATCACCATCATAATAACATCAACTGATAATAATAATATTAATAATGATGGCATTCAGAATAATGACAATAATGATAATGATAATAATTAGATAAATAAATGAACAAGATATAAAGAATAAAAATAATAGATACATGAACAGAAGTAAATATAGAATGAAGGCGAGACTAAATATAACCACACATTTAATTGTACAGACTTAACGGAAAATTTTGAACAAGATATAAATAATAGATATACATGAACAGTGCGTTAATCTTTACGTAAAATATTATTGAATCATTGAAATACCAGAACGCTGTATTGTGCTGTTCCCAACCCGACGGATATATGGACAAGTGTATGTTTATGTGGACAAGTCGTGTACGTTTATGTGGACAAGTCGTGTACGTTTATGTGGACAAGTCGTGTTTATGTGGACAAGTCGTGTACGTTTATGTGGACAAGTCGTGTACGTTTATGTGGACAAGTCGTGTACGTGTGGACAAGTCGTGTACGTTTATGTGGACAAGTCGTGTACGTTTATGTGGACAAGTCGTGTACGTTTATGTGGACAAGTCGTGTACGTTTATGTGGACAAGTCGTGTACGTTTATGTGGACAAGTCGTGACGTGTTCGTGTACGTTTATGTGGACAAGTCGTGTACGTTTATGTGGACGTGTGTTTATGTGGACGTCGTCAAGTCGTGTACGTGTGGACAAGTCGTGTACGTTTATGTGGACAAGTCGTGTACGTTTATGTGGACAAGTCGTGCATGTTTATGTGGACAAGTCGTGTACGTTTATGTGGACAAGTCGTGTACAAGTCATGTGTGGACAAGTCGTGTACGTTTATGTGACAAGTCGTACGTTTATGTGGACAAGTCGTGGGTGTGTCGACGTTATGTGGACAAGTCGTGTACGTTTATACGTTTGTCAAGTCGTGCGTTTATGTGTATGTGGACAAGTACGTTTATGTGGTCGTGTGGACAAGTCGTGTACGTTTATGTGGACGTCGTGTACGTTTATGTGGACAAGTCGTGTACGTTTATGTGGACAAGTCGTTTATGTGGACAAGTCGTGTACGTTTATGTGGACAAGTCGTGTACGTTTATGTGGACAAGTCGTGGTATGTGGACAAGTCGTGTACGTTTATGTGGACAAGTGTTGTTTATGTGGACAAGTCGTGTACGTTTATGTGGACAAGTCGTGTACGTTTATGTGGACAAGTCGTGTACGTTTATGTGGACAAGTCGTGTACGTTTATGTGGTCGTGGTTTATGTGGACAAGTCGTTTATGTGACAAGTCGTTGTATGTGGACAAGTCGTGTACGTTTATGTGGACAAGTCGTGTACGTTTATGTGGACAAGTCGTGTACGTTTATGTGGACGTGTACGTTATGTGGACAAGTCGTGTACGTGTGTCGTGTAGTCATCGTTGCAGTAACGAAGTAGTGATCATGTATGTTTGTGATAATATTCATATGAAAGTGGTAATGACGATGATAAACGTGGTACAGATAGTAAATGTAATGGTTAAGTAATATTGGTGATTTCTGTCCTTTTTTCCCGTATTGATGAGAAATATAGCGAGACATAGTAATAATAATGATGATGATATTTGCAGTATTAACAATGGCAATGATAGTGATTACAGTAATGATAATAATGACAATAGTAAGAGTAATAATGGTGATAACAGTAATGAAAATTATACTACTACTAATGATACTAGAAATAATAACAATAAAGATAGTAATGATAAAGATATAAGTAATATGATGATAATGATAGTAAGAAATCATTACTGATATATAATAATAAGAATGATGAGATAAACTTATATGAATAGATACAATAATTGATAAATATCTTATTAGCACCTCAGTAATGATAATAATGACGATGATATTCGTATCTACATCAATACTGATAATAATAATGATCAAAATGGCAATGAAAAGATATATCATAATAACGATAATAGTAAAACATAATAACGATAATAGTAAAATATAATAATGATAATAGTAAATGACACCATTACAAAGAACGATAACATTCAAAATAACACTAACAATACATATAACAATTAACAACGATGACCTTAATAATAAAACTGAAGAAAATGAAGAATAAGTGAAGAAATGAAATAAAAGTTATACCCTCGTAATCCCTCCATTAAAAAGCAATTTAGGCGTAAAAGACTGAAGACTTGTTGGGTAAGTTTGGTCTGGTTTTACCCTCTTTTTTATCTTTTTTTTTTTTTTTCGTTTTTCTGTCTTTCTATCTATTTATCTTTTTTCTTCCCCTTCCTTTCTTTCGTTTCTGCTTCTTGGGACTTATTTATGTAATATATATATGGGTGGGGTGTGTGTGTGTGTGTGTGTGTGTGTGTGTGTGTGTGTGTGTGTGTGTGTGTGTGTGTGTGTGTGTGTGTGTGTGTGTGTGTGTGTGCTGTGTGTGTGTGTGTGTGTGCTCTCTTTTGTGATAAT